GTTGTGAACAAATCCATCTCTACCTTTCCTGTTTCTGACGTAGTGGCCCTTTGCTAGGCTTACTCCAGGTTGTTCATCTTTGTTGTTAGGGGGACTCCAAAGCTGAACACGGCAGTCCAGAAACAGTTTCAAAAGTGCTGAAAACATGAGCATGATTGCTTTTTTCCGTATTCACTCTACATAGTGCCTATTACACTGCAGTACATGGTTGGTGCTCACTATTGCAAGGAAGAACTTCTGTTGACTCACAGAATCACAAAATCACAGAATGGTTGAGGATGGAAGGGACCACTGGAGGTCATCTACTCCAACATTCTTGCTTAAGCAGGGTCGCCTAGAACACATAACTCAGGATGTGTTCCATAGCTCAAGAGCTCTGTGTCCAGATGGCTCTTGAATATCTATAGGGAAGGAGACCCCACAATCTTTCTGGGCAACCTCTTCAAATACTCAATCATCCTCACAGTAAAGTTATTCCTCATGTTCAGGTGGAATTTCCTGTGTTTTAGTATATGCCCATTGCCTCTCATCCTACCACCTGGTACCACCGAGAATAGTCTGGCCCCATCCTTTTGACACCCCCCCTTCAGATACTTATACATATTAATCAAATCACCCCTGAGCCTTCCCTTCTCTAGGCTCAACAGGCACAGCTCCCTCAGCCTTTCCGCATATGAGTGATGCTCCAGACCCTTAATCATTCTAGGAACCCTTCACTGGACTTGCTCTAGGACCTCCAATCTCTCTTGTACTAAGGAGCCTGGAACTGGACATAATACTCCAGTCGAGTCTTCACTAGGGCTGAGGAGAGAAGGAGGATCACCTTCCTTGCCCTGCTGGCAATGCTCATCCTGATGCAGCCCATGATACCACTGACCTTCTAGGGCACATTGCTTTTGGTTCATGGATGACTTTATGTTCACCAGGACCTCCAGATTCCTCTCAGCAGAGCTGCTTTCCAGCAGGTCAGCCTCCAGCCTGTGCTGGTGAATGTGGTTATTCCTCCCCAGGTGCAGAACCCTGCACTTACCTTTGCTGAATTTCAAAAGGTTCCTCTCTGCCCATCTCTCCAGCCTATCTAGATCCCTCTAAATTAGAGCACATCACTCTAGGATATCAGCCACTCCTCCCTGTTTTATATCATCGTCAAACTTGCTGGGAAGGCACTCAAACCCTTCATCCAGATCATCAATGAATAAGTGACTCATATGCAACTTCTTGTCTACCAGCAATCCTTAAGTGCTTTTAGAGCTGTTCCCTAGACAGTCAGTCCTCCCAGCCATTTACTTTTGGATCTTTTCTGTCAGATCACTTCTTCAGCTTTTTGAGAGTCATCTGAACAGCAGCCTTATTATCCAGCACATTGACTGCTCCCTGCAGTTTGGTGTCAACCCCAAGTTTGCCAACTGTCTGTTCCTTTCCATTTAATTATAAACCAACAAATCACACCACTACCATTTTGTTTGGTAGAGCCAATATATGGGGTTCCCAGGTAATGAAAAGCAAAAGATTGTTCTGAAGGCACAATTTACAAAAGACTATGGTAGGAGTTGAGTGACTACAAGGAAGGAATATCTGAATTTAAATAGAAAAATAACCACATTATATATAAAAGCAGGCAATGACTGCTGCTCTGGTCAGCAATTACTTGAGACTAAATGTGGACAGAAACAGTCAATGTACACACAAATACCCTTCTGATCTGTCAGCATTCCCACCCATTCTCATCTTAACCCATATACCCAGAAATGCCAAAACGAATATGTGCTTTAATGTTAGTGTGCACAATAATCTCTAAATCTTTATCTAATACTGGGTAAAAGTATCAATTACAGAAATATCCTTGTCTCCTTCTTTGACTTTTACGCTATAGGATGGATGTAAAGAAGCCATAGCATGAATGGGAACTTGGCCCAAGACATTTTTTTACGCTTTTGGAAAAATCAATAGGCAAGATTCCATCTTGGTTGCAACAATGTGAATGTGGAGGCATCTCAGTAGCCAGCTGAGTTTATTTGCATTGCTAAAGATTAAGATCAAGTCTTATTATAATTGGATGCGTCAATCATTAGCACAGAGCCTTTGTACCTGGCATTCACCTTGACTGCAAATTTCACATACAAGGAGCATTACATACAAAACTCATTTCGGAGTATTTCATCTCTTCGAGTACAAGAGGTAAGAGGAAATAAAAACAGAACACAACCTTCTTAGAAGACTGTGCACTTGACAAATGCGCTATTCTATCTAGTCACTATTTGAATTCTGTAATACCTGTGATGCTGAGTCACCTTGTCCTATCAGGAAACAGAAGAGCTATAAATCTCCCTCCAGTGAAGAACCCCAGTCACTTCCACAACCACCTGAGGAAGGACAGAAGAAACCTCTGATCTTCCCGGATACAAAAAGGTAGGATTGATTTGTTTGCTTAAAGTATCACTGTTCTTTTCATGTGCTAAAATACAACCTGTGGTCAGAAGACTCCTTGAACAATTCAGGACAGTCACAGAAAGAGGATTTTTTTTAGTGCAAAATAAGGACTACACAGACATTAGTAACACAACCTGCCAAAAAAAAAAAAAATAAAAAAAATAAAAAAGAGAAGATTGAGGAATAATCAAAAACAGATTAGAAACAACCTGTGTGCAAGAAACAGGTATCTTGGCAGATTGTATGTAGATAGAGAAAGAGACAGAGACAGACCAAATTGTTGAATTGGATATATATTCTGTTCAGTATATTCTCTTGCTTTATGTAGCTATTACAATTCCCTCACCTGAAGGGTGAGGAAATTGCCACCCTGTGCAGCTTACCACTGATGTACAAGGTGGTCATTAAGTAGAGTTTTGTGTAATAATACTGGAGAAGTGAAACGGCAGCTAGTATTATTCCATTCCAGGTCTTTTTCAAGGACAATAAAAAATAATGAGGATGTTCTTTTGTAATAGATATTGAATTGTATGAATAATTTAGGACACACCTTTTCTTTTTTTTTAGGAGAAGAGATGGGAAAAACATATTCACATAAGTTTGCTAAACTCATACAAACTAGGGATGCTAAAACACCATCTTTCAGTGGCAGATCCCTGTACACAGATGGAGTTGCAGGAAAGTCAGTAAGACTTGGCACATGTCCTGATTTATGTTTGATTGAGGGGGAACAAGGGAGGGGGACAGGGAGACTGATTTTAGGACCAGTGCCTAGAAATTAATGCAGAGCAATTAAATTTACATCTCATAAACTATAAGCATTTGGTTGAAATCAGTGGGATTGCCAAAAGTATGTTAATATCTTGGAGCAGGAAACCCGCTAGATCTTAAAAAACATTGCAATGGCATTTTCAAACTTGTATCATGTATTAAATTACCAATTATGTTTAATTGAAAGTTAATTCATAGACAATATTACAGTGAATGAATATTTTGCCCATGTCTTTAAGTCAGCTTCTTCATTTTTTTTTTTCAAAACAGAAAGCTTCACAATTTCAATGAAAAGTTATTTTTCCTTTGAAACAATTTGGTTTTACATATTTTAAGAGCAAAAAGGGTTGTTTTCAATTTGCATATCACCACATTTTGCACTCAGAAGACACAGTTTTGCTTGTAACTTGAGTGTAGCTAAAAATAACCCCCAACTCTATTTACTTTCTAGTCAGAAATTAAGTGAAAAGAATAGTTTTTCATGTTATTGGGAGTATAATCTTTTATTGCTAAACACCTAGGTAACATACATTGCAGAGTTTTGTAACTGCTCTGAGAAATAAGTGGTAGAAAAGTTACTAAGAAAAAATTCTGTGGTCCTGAAGCACTTCAAGGAGGCACAAATCAATATCTAGAACAGAAAATCCATGATTTATACTGTTCACTACCTGTATGTTTTTCCTCCAGACTAACAAGATCTTTCCTCAACTACAAGTGCTTGGATCAGCCACCCCATTTTGAGGCTGTGAGAGTATAATTGTACAGATGTGGCCAGTCTGTCCATTTTTTTATCCTCTGAGCTACAGCTGCCCATAGTCACAGTCCATTTCCACTCTTTGTTCTTTAGTAGAGCTGGAGCAGCATCCTTGCCTACAGGATGGGGACTGTGAGTCACATCCAGTGCAATATAAGAAAGCTGGTGAGGAAAATAGGCCTTGTTTTACCATTTGGAAAAAGGAATTTTTTCTTACCCGTTCTCCAAGAGCTGGAGCACCTTGTGTTTTATATAAAATGGTTTCCCTGAGGTAAAGGGGCTCTGCTGAGTATGAAAAGATCAGCAAATCTTATTGGCCTTTCCCCAAGAACAAATTAAAACTAAAACCTGCAGCCCCTCAAAACCAAAGCTAACAATATATCCCTGTGGTAACATGCCCATAAACCCCCTTGGAGTGGGAGCCTGGGAATAATGCCAAAATAAGTAAATTCCACTCTAATCACCTGCTTGCCTACCCAAGGTAGCTAAGCAGAAACAATCTGAATATAACTCCTATGTCTGATTGCAATCAGACACCTGAACTTTGAAATTACCTGCATTACCTCCTGTATCACTGTAGTGGTTTGGTATGGCACCTTGAGCCTTCTCAGTGAGTAGAGACCAGGGCCTAGTAGTTGCTTCTTTAACGCAAGAAAGCTCTCATTTCTGTTGTCATTTCACACTACCTGTAACATAATCAAGACCTGTCTTTAAAAACATAAATTAAATAATAAAAACAAAAAAGTCTTCTGCAACAAGTCTTTCCCAGGAAGACAGAGCTAGCCCAGTTCTGGTCCAGCCAGTTCTCCCCCCGCTTGCATGCAAGGCTTCACAGTGCTGGTCATTAAGTAAGGGTTTTGAATCCTGACTCATATACCTATTTTTTTACTTCTAAAAATGGGAGGAGGAGAGAAGGAGGAAAGAAAGAAAACTTACCTTGTTACTTGAGTATAAGCCAGGAAATACACGGAAAGACACATTATGTATTGAGAGAAATGAAAGCTCAGTAGAAAAAAATCAAATCCTCATTCTCCCCTTTTCAGAGATGATTCTGCCAGTGGTGTTCCTGTGTCTCACAGCTGTGGTGCGTCTGTCCAATGGAGAGGTAGGATGCACACTTTGTGCTCAGAAAATCTGGATGGGACCTGAGCACTTGTGGTCTGATTGAATATGGTTTTTCCTTTATGCACTAATCATATGCAGAAAAAGTCCAATTAGATACCTAGGATCTGGAAAGCATTTATCCTTGAAGTCTGTTTAATTTCAAAGCAGTAAACTGGTTCCACACTTGCACACTAAACCGTCTATAGACTCAGTGTTACTTACGATTTGGATCAGAGACAACTCTATTTTCCAGAAGCTCCCATACACAGATCTAGTAGTTTGGATAGTCCAAAGAACATAGAATCCTGGAATGGTTTGGATTGGAAAGGACCTTAAAGATCACCTAGTTCCAATCCCCCTGCCACAGGCAGAGACACCTTCCACTAGACCAGGTTTCTCAAAGCCCCAACCAACCTAGCCAACCAAACTTCTTTCTGTTAATTCCCCACAGTTTTACAGGCAACACTTGCTTAACAATCCCCCTTTATCATCCTACAGGTCCTGAACTATGTGCTTCTCTCTTTGCTCACAGTCCCATCTTCTCAACATGTGTCACTGGTTTTCCTCAAACAGCTAAACGAACTAACATGATCAGTGGATACTTAGAGTGGTTCTTCCCAATCCATATTTAGTCTGAAGTTTGCTACTTCTGCTTCAGAAATACTAATGTGACTGAAAGATTGACTACATTTCCCCCTAATTCTTCAATTTCTGCTCTCCATGCTGCAGTCTAGTGAGAATGGTTGTAAAGAGGAGGTTGAGTTCTTCACACAGCTTCTTTTTAATTAGAAAACACATGAAAAATTTGAGAAATGCTACTAGTTATGGCAGGAACAGAAGAAAATTTATGGCATAAAAAACATAGGCACACTTGCTTTTCAGTGAGATGTCCTGATGAAGTATCACAGGAGGTCTGTGACGATCCTGTGATTAAACAGCAGATTCCTGAAGGGGAACACATCATAAGCACATTCATGTCTTCAGCTGATTTTCAGATCCCATTTCCCCAAAACCTTGTGAAGGAAATTACAATAATAGTAAAATAAGTCTGATCCAGTAGCCTAAATTTAAGAGATGTTCCAGTATATCTCAGCCATCCACAGAGGGCTGGCAGATATGACACAGGAAGCTCTATGTTGTGAAACCACTGAAAGTGCTACTGCACATAGAAGGACTCCTCAAGATACTTAGGAGACAAAGCATATCACAGTACTTCCTCCATCACAAGGATCATCTCCTTGACTGACGTTAGTATGTTGGTATTTTAGTATTTCCTACTAAATACCTACTATATGGGATTTCCTATTAGACTAAATTTCCTACTAGATGGGATACAGGATTTAGTTACATTCAAATGAAAAAGAGAAACATAACATGTTCTTTCAATTTAGGAACCTGAAGATTTCGACGCTCTGTCAACTGACAGAACAGATCAGCAAAACCTTATTGTTGACACACATAATACCCTCAGGAGAGGAGTAAAACCAACTGCCAGCAACATGTTAAAGATGGTAAGTTGTGTGCTGTAAATCTATTTTTAATGTATAACGGACTCTATGAGAAATACAGGGCTGTATGCAAGGTCACATTTTATTTAGCCACAAATTCACTCTCCAGAGCTTTTTTAAGGATTGTGCATGACCAGCACCAAGAGAAACATAAAGCTAGGCAGGTGGAAAAAATAGTCAGGAAAACTTTGTGGTGTATGAACAACAATGTCTCTTTCTTTTGGAAGAAAAAGAAAAGGAAAAGGAAGAGCCGCAGCATTGTTGATATATTCTGATGTGTTTTTCATCATTCTTCACAGTTTCTGTTCTCCTGGATGCATAGTAACTTTGTTCCTACACTCCAAAAGGGGGAAGAAAAAGATTTTATACATCTTTTTTCCTGATTTGAAGTGTAATTCCAAATGTCGTTCCTTCATAAGGATTATTAATTGATACATGTATGAACGACTAATATTTCCGTCTTTCATTAAGGAATGGAATGCTCCAGCTGCAAAGAATGCCCAAAACTGGGCAAATAAATGTACTTTAAGTCACAGTCCTGCTAACATGAGGAGAACCAGTAAGTGAAACATGTTCTAAATTAATAATATCACATGTGTTACTGATATGACCAGTTTTGGGGTTTTGTTTTGGGTTTTTTTGTTTGGTTGTAATTTTGGGTTTGGTGGGGTTTTTTTGTTTTTTTTTTTGTTGTGATTCCATTAATATTCAATGTGATTTTGTTGGTGCATGGGACAAAGGCAAAATTCTAGATAAAAATTTGTCCAGTAAGTGAGAAAAGTTCAATCCTATTCTCATTCTATCTGTATCAGTTTTACAGAGGTATACCTCATTTTCTTCAGTGGGTGAAAAAAACATAGTAAGAAAACATGTTCTCTCAAAATATCCATCAGAAAGAAATGATTCTAGACCCAGTTTACAACGGAAACCAATCTGCATGTGCTGGATGAAACTGTATGGAAAGGAAGGGTCAAAAAGTGAAGGTCCAGATTTGCTAACTTGCAAATAACAAAATTACAGTCATGAATCTGTGGTGTACATGTGCAGGTGTTATCTACAGACATTCAGAAGGTCTGTCAACAACTACCAGCCAAACAGGCTGGCCGTGCTACAAACTGGTCAAGTGACAACTTCAGTATTGACAAAGGGTGATGTCACTGAACTGGGAAAAAACAAAACACACTGTTGTCCCATCTGGAATGAGAATTCCTATAGAAACCATACTTTCTTTGCTGTCTTTTTCTCACACGTATACCTTTTATGCATTTCTCAGTACATTTCTCTTTTCAGATGTACAGTGTGGGGAAAATCTCTTCATGTCGTCTGGCCCTTTTTCATGGTCAGATGTTATTCAGTCCTGGTACAATGAGAAGGAAGATTTTGAATACGGAACTGGAGCAAAAACACAAGGTGCTGTGATTGGGCATTACACTCAGGTAGGTGCCAGTTTTTATATTTCAGAAAGAAAAAATAAATGCCTATATGTTAGCTAAACAACTTTTACCCTCTCATTGTCTTTAAAGGGAATAAATACAGAGGTCATATGAGAGTTATTCTGACAAAACAAGGTAAAAACTTTTAAATTCACAGAATTAAAATTAAATAAATAGGCTAAGTGTCTTTATGGAGTAAAGAGTAAATATACTGATATTTCAAGACTTCAGGAAGAAACAAACGGAAGAAACTTTTTTGTTTGTCAACATCTGAAAATTGCTCAGACACTGGAAGAAAAGGGTTATTAAAGTATCAAGAAGGAAATATAAATAGGTTTGTTACACTTTACAGAGTTCCATTGACTCAGAGAATTTCTTAGACAATGGCTTCTGATAACCTCATCTTTTCACTTACATGAAACACAGAATACAGAATGAAAACGTGCATAAACGAGACAGTTTACCTCAAACTTATAATATGTATATGTGATAAATTATTACCATTATATCCTAAATGTTCTTTGGTTCAGGGGTAAAAGAGAAAAAAAATGTTTTTCCAGGAAGGTAGGACTTATATTTTACTATAAAGGGTAAATAAAGTGACTTAAATTGGTTGTAAATGTTTCTGCAATGCATTTTGTACTTAAATGATTTAAAAATGGTTATTTTTCATTCTCTCTTAATTTTTATTCTTATACCTACAGGTGGTTTGGTACAATTCTTATCAAATTGGATGTGCTGTCTCTTACTGTCCCAACAGGACATTCAAATACTTCTATGTCTGCCATTACTGCCCCATGTATGTATTGATTCTGATTCTGGAACTTCTTATTACATTATCAAATTTATTTGGGAGGTGATGAAATTTATAATAGGGCATGTCACCCATAGCTGCGGAACAGGTTTGTAGACTGTATTAGGAACATGAAAAGACAGAAACATATTCATCAAAAGAATAGTCAAAAGGAGCAAAAGTAAAAATATATGAAAGTGACATAGATTTTCAGATTAAACTTCTTTTGCCTAAAAATCCTATTTTTCATAATAGTAAATGGATAAATAAATATTTTCCACATTCTACTTGAAATCTTGGTTCCGAAAGGCATGTCAATATGTACAGTACTGTGAAGACTCTAATTAATACCAAAAAATGCAGTGGAAATTTTAAAGTAGAGTTGTGTTTTCATAAACTACCTAAAATTAATTTTTACATTCACACTGCGATATTCTGTGGTGGGTGGACCTTAGCTGACCACCAGCAACCCATCAAGCCGCTCTGTCACTCCCACTTTGACCTGGTCCAACCTGGAGGCAATTTGCACTGGGTCTGTCTGAAATAGGGGCAGCTTCTGCTGTCTTTTCCCAGGCAAATTTTGCCCCCACTACCAAAACCTAACACACGCACACACACACACATATGTATATATAAATTGTTTGACAAAAACTGAGGATTGGGTATAAAATAATGCATGGATATATCCATATAATTAAGTTTTATCCTCAGACATGTTATAGTGAATTTATAGCTTATGTTGTTAATGTTGATATTTCAGGGGGAATCTAATAAGTTCAATTCCGACACCCTACAAAAAAGGAGAACCCTGTGGTGATTGTCCTGATGCTTGTGAGGATGGATTATGCAGTAAGTTCTAAGCATTTCATCATGACCTGGGTAAAGTTGATGCTTCAAAAAAATACCAATTAACTTATGCAAATGATTTTTTTTAATTATTTGTTCAAATACAGGGCCAATAGCACTATTATGAACCACTCTTCACCATGTTAGGTGCTTTACCTAGGTGAGACACCTTGTGGAGTGAAACCAAAGAAGGAGTCTACAAGGGCAGGCAAATGTTAGACAGTGGTTGGTGTACATTGGGATCCATATACTCTCCGTTTCATGGATAAAGATATTCATATGGCCTATATACTTTCTTTAAAGATGACAGTGTCAGGTTCTCCATATGGAAACTCTCATGAATACTTCCTAGCATAAAGAGATGTGTTGACTGCAAGTGGGATCAAATATATGTTTATAGTAATGGTAAAACAGAAATCTGAGCTCTGAATTTCCAGCTGCAGTTTGTGTGCTTTTCCATACCCAGGAGATTCAATTCCCACCCTTGAACCTAGGAAATGCCAGGAAAGGAGAGATCTTCTTTATCTTTTTTTCTTCTTCCTCCTTTGAACTATGGTGGCTGATCAAGTAGTAGTAGCAACATGGTTGATAAGAGCAAGGGGCAAATCTGAGTTTTAGGAATTCTAACAGACCATAAAAGCATATGGGTCGAATCTCATAATGGAAGAGTTAATTTCCATCTTCTGTTACGGAATTAAACTACTTTTCATCATGGGCTCTATTATAAAGGAAGAAAGCTTCAAAATACTTTGCGAGTTTAGTGAGAAGTCTCCTTGAGATAGCTAAATTTAGAATTTTTGTTTGGTCAAAGATTTTGGATGTTTCTGTGGAGTAAATGACAACAAAGAGGTAAAAACTACAGAGGAAAGAATTATTGATGAAAAAATGTGTTGAAAGGAAATGTTGCAGGTTTTCATTTCCCATTTATGATTAATTTTGTATTTCAATTTATTTTCAGCCAAGCTTTGAAATTTTGAAGATGTTTATTCCAACTAACTTCGCAAGGTCTCCTGGATGTACCCGTAGCTTTGTCAAGTTCATTGCCCTGCTTCCTGCCAATGCAAAACTGAAATAAAATAATGGGTCCAACTTTTTCCTTCCTGGACAGCTCTCTCTTCAGTGATTGCTTTCAATCCATTGCATGGAATCTGTTTTTTTGAAAACAGATTCCATCCTGCCTCTCCCACATATGCAGGACTAACTTCAGTCCAGTGGCTCACATGAGAGAAAATTATAGGAGGATGTATGTATATATTCTATTTGTATAGTGTTTCTAGTTTCCACTAGTACTATTCCAGTTTAGAATATGTGTCTTTTGCTGGCATACATTCCACCATATAATGCTCAGCTGTAAAACAAAACAAACATACAAACAAACAAACAAACAAACTACAAAACTATAGTTCCTTTAAATTAATGATCCTGCTTAGAATATAAGATTACACTTATCATAGATACAGGTAACCAAACTTGCCTTCTAATGAAAAGAACTGTCTGAGAAACCAACTTAATTCACAATAATACATAGCCAAGGGGGAAGGTCACTGCATTTGGAAACTTTGTTTTTAATAATAAGTAGAGGTGTTTTCTAAATATTATTTTTTAAATATCTGCTTTTGCTGTATTAGTCATAAAATTACTCATTCTTCACTGACCAATTCATTATAATTTTCATTCTTTCTTATTTCCATGGAATAAAATTTAGTAAACTTCCACCAACTTTGTGTCTTTATTAGTATTAGGTCTCAAAGGAAGCCCAACCCTTTAGCAGCATAACCAGAAACAGTTCATGTGAGAAACTGAAGACTTACTAGACAAAAACAGAAGTCAGGCAAACAGCTTTCCTTCAGACTCTCTTTCAGAGAGAAATGACCATTAGCATGAATAACATGCAATACCCACTTCTGCAACCTTTGGGAAGCAGATGATTTTCTGTGCAGTCAAAAATAGGACTAAATATTGTTTTAGTCTCACATACAATGGTTTCACATCCCAGTCTGTCCTCCTTTATTAAGGAAGCTGCTGTCATAATTAAGATTCCATGTCCCAGAATCTTTAGTACAGAATAATTTCAGCACACATTTCTGACTCATTCATTTCAGTGGCAATTTCAACACACATTTCTGACTGATTCATTTTGGTGGCATTTCTTCTAGTATGAAAGATGAGCATTAAGTTAGAAACCTGATTTCACAATTCAAAGTGTTTATTGTTTTGGTTGGGTTTTTTTCACATTTCCACCACTTTTTCCCTCCACGGTATACAGCCCTCTCATTTGGGTACATCTCTACTAGTAATTTAAGGAATGCCAGGACATAGATATGAGCATGGGAACATGAGCTGTTGCATTCTTAAATAATTAACACCCATCCAAGTAAGAATGATAGTACAATAGCTAATCCAGTGTTTAGCAAGGAAATGGGTAGACCTGTTACCTACACTCCTAAAAAAGTAATTTACTAGGAATAATGGGTCTAGAAACCTATTTCCTTCTGTCATAACCCATACCACAAGAACTGGTTTCTCAGTCACTCACAAGAGGAAAGAAGTAGCATAATGAGGTAAAAATCAGCCTCACACATCTCACCCATGAAGCCCCAGGGAACTAAAGGTCACTAAGGCTAATTTAGGTATCCAGGAAGATAAAGGAGCAAGTTGTATACCTGTCATTTAGCAATCAGCAGTGTAAAATACCAGCATGGTTTTGTCATGAGCTGATCTTGCCAAACCAAACTTTCTTCAGTGAGTAACTCAGATGAGTGGATGTTGTTTTGGCTTTGGTAGCATGTTTGACAAAGCCACAAAAGACATTTGCAAACTAGGGAGTTGCGGTTCAGATGAAAGTAGTAAGACATGACACATACACAGTGTTGAACACACACACACACATCCGTGATGCTCCTGTGTAGGCACAGAGGCCTTTGCCAATGTGGTTAGATGTCTGCAATAGACAAATGGGTCCCTCATCCAGAGGTAATTGCACAGATCTTGCATGTGATGACCGTGACCCTCCCCAGTCACAAGTCACAATCATGGATGAAGACAGCTTTTGCCAGTGTTTGGAAAACCTTCACTGAATGCTTTTCTCATTCCCATTTGCCACAAGCACATTTAGGGCATTTTCTTGGACAGAAACAAGTCCTAGGTTCTAGATTACTTCTAACAAAGATTACGAGCCAATTCTGTTGTAAGAAATACATCAGAATTATAATCTATCACAGTTTAGTAAAAATGAATAACTGGTACTTGGGAGAGACAAGATCTGGAGGGGTAATAACAGCTGATAGATTGATATAAACAATTCTTGGAGCAGGAAACCCAACATGTCCTATGTTGTGCTACAGACACTTTCATCTGCTCCTGTTTGCTTCAAGGAATTTTCTATTCTTTTTGTCTCCAAAGGGACTTACTGCTGATGAGTGGGGCACAGAATGTTTTCCTCACCTAGGAGGAAGTAGTATTTAACTTAGGGCTTACAGTACCTTCCTCATAAATGTTGGCTGTTCTGCATGCTGGCAATTGTATCAGGTCTCCTATTTCCTGACACATTCTCTGAAAATGTAAAAAGGTTTAGTGACTGACTTTGATACTAAATGGTCATGTTGTGACTAGGTAGTGCTGGTAAAAGACTTAAAAGCCATTATACTATATACTTCAAACTGTATTGCAAGGCAGTGTGCTTTGTCCATGATAGTTTCCTGTGGTCACTGGGGTCCCCACATCAAAGCATGCCTTCATCCTAGCACATCTTCTTCCTGGGTTGTTTCACCTTTCCAGGTGGAAAACCTTGAAACCTTTATTATCTTTAGCAACAATCCAGAGAGGACAGGGAGCTGCCATGGGAGGGCCTGTGGAGATGGTCTTTTTTTCCCATTTCTCTTTCTCACCCACTTCTGATGGAGCTCTCTGCAGACAGCTGGCTGCTCTAGGACAGTGCCTGAAATATGTCCTGTATCATGGGTCCCTGGTTTACTGTGGAAAAGTGAATAGAATAGACTAGAATTTACTAGAATAGACTAGAATGGACTATCATAGAGTAGGCTTGTACAGCATAGACTAGAACAGGACAGGACAGAACAGGATAGAAAACAGAATTCAGTTGGAAGCGACCTACCTAGCTCAACTTCCTGACCAGAAATTAGGTTAGAACTAGTTCCCCTCTAAACTGTGAGAATTATGCAATGGTGTAACAGGAAGAGTAAAACTTGATGATATGCACAGTTCAGCTAAGACAGTATCCTGTCTCTCGCTGTTACAAAAATAATGTCCTTTAATGGAAGGTAGAAAAATACTGTGGCAGGCAGAACTGAGTTTGCTCTTTCCCCAGATATGATATCTAACAGTCATGACATCTTTTAGTGCTGAAACAGAAACTTTAATGTCATTTTGAAAACGTATCATCATTAGTTATGAAACTTCTGGATATTCCTAGAATGTATGCAGTCTTCTGAAAGCTGTAAGACGGATGTACTTTACACCTCTCTCATGCTGTAAGCCTTGATTCACTTACTTTTCAGAACTTGAAGAAATGTTCTTGAAACCTGCAAAGCAAAAACATGCAACGCACTTTTAAATGTGTGCCTAGAGCCTTGATTGATTTGACAATTTAAAGTGTTACAACAGTGTTTCAATGGTGAGGATGGAAAAATGGTGAAGTCTTGTTATGTGTGGTGGGTTTGAAAAATCCTACTGAGACTGTGGATTGCCTCTCACTTTATACTCTCTCCTGGCTGCACGATGCAACTGCTCTTTCCCAAAATTCAAGAAAAAGATGTTGCACATGCTTGAAAGTAGCATTTGATCTCTGTGAAAGGGAATTGAAAGAAACAAAGTGTGTGTCCATCTGAAAAAATAACTGCAAGAAGGATCTCTAATTTTTAAATAAAGCCATCATCTTGGAGCTAACGTTCCTTAAACCAATGAATGTTTTACACTACTATCTAGTAATCCAATAAGCTTTATAGGAGATATAAACTTTAAGTAAATTTTAAGTAAATGGCAAT